GTTGAATGGAATAGTGAGACTGAAAATAAGATAAAAATTTCGACTCTCTTTCAGACAGGATCCCATAATTATTTCAGATAATCGGACTTGATTCCAATCAGAGATCCCAAGAAATCTTTGACGCGAAGGTCGATAAGAGATCACTGTCTCCTGAAATCGATCGTATCGCCCTGCGCACCTACCTTCGTCCTTTTCGTTGTCGTCCTCGAGGTCCTCCGATAAATTATCGTCCTCCTCCTCGTCGTCTTGAGAACGATGCGACGCTCCGGCCTCGCTTCCGGAGTGCTCGCCCACGCTTCCGCTTCCCGCTGTTTTTGACAGATTTAGAACCGGGCTGTGGCCGTTGGAGGAGCCTGCAAAAACCGCGATATCGCGACGGCTTTAATAAAGGGTGCAATTCATCGCGTTTAATGCGAGATGCATTCATAATCTTCCCCTCTATACGCGACACATGCATACACACACATAAATATACGTGAGGAAGGGATATCGATGCTGGATTCGAGTCGTGCCCGCGTCCATATATCTACTCGATACACGATAACGCCGCGAGAACGGCGTCAATCTTTCCCGAGGAACGTTCGGTTACGAAGAACGAGAAGCGCGTCCATCGACCGGACTGACAAGTTGATGGATTTTATTTGCCTCCGCGCATCCCCGTTTAGACGAGAACAAGCGGACTATCCACTTTCCGAATCCTCCCGGCGGCCTGCTCTCTCTCTCTCTCTCTTTGCTACCCTGTCTCTCTCTTTATCTCGTTCTCTTTCCCTGTTACCCCGATGGACGGGCGCCTCTTTCTCTTTCCGCATCCCTTTTTCCTTGCCGTCTAAACGCGGACGCGCGCGGGCGCACGTATTTGATATCCTAGTATTTTAATCCTGACATAGATAGATACTGTTTGGGCAACGGTCGTCCGCGTTGACGCATTGCTCCGAGGCCACTCGTGATCTCACGAGTACACGCACGAGCACCGGAACGAGTACGGGTGTGCGACGGACGGCGGGGGTTAGGGCGAAGCGGGGCCCTGGCCGTTCACACGTACGCGCCCGGAGCTCCATGTACCTCGTTGGTCGTTGAAAGAGAAGGGTCGCGGTTTTCTCGGCTCTTCCCGGCACGATCTAATGAATCGTACATCTTTTACGTTAAATTGACTCCTACACGCCGGCTACCACGCTGGAGGCTGAAAACCTCGGCGCGCACTGCGATGAGGGGTCGTCCTCGCGTGAAGCGTAATCCGATCCGACCAGTGGTAATTGCGCGCGTGCATGGAAATACGCGAGAAATAGGCAGCCTTCCTCGTCGCGACGTCCATGGCGCGAATGGCGGAGAGTCTGTCTGATTTTTCAGAAAGAGAGATCTCCTGAGAGAGAGAATTCCCAGGTTTCTCCTCGACCTCTCTTCTGCTTGCGCTAAGAGGACGCCCCGTTTAAGCGCGATATAGTGGCGATAGAAGTCGAAACGGTGTCTTCGGCGGAGGTAGGTCCGTCTCACGGAAGATAAAGGGTTCCATCAGACGGATTATAATATTATAGGGAATCAGAAAGAGAGGCCGGACCGCGACAGGACGTAACCCGATATCGGACTTAATCTTCGAGATCCTAAACGCCCGGGACACTCGGCTCCTCGTACCTCATCTCCGTTCGTTCGTTCGTCCGTTCCGGGACGGAGAGAGAAAGGGAAAAAGGGAGAGGGAGAGAGAGAGAGAGAGCAGAGGGAAAGAACGAAAAGGTAGAAATACAGAAAAGAACGAGCACAAGACGGTCGGACTGCCGGCCCGCCGCGCCGTGTCGCGGTCAAAAATCTTTCTGCGCCGCTTGACTTGGAGCCCGCGTCGATCGAACGTACCCCGAGGCCTCGGGCGATTAAGGATCTCGCGTTACCGACTTAATCCAGTTGACAGGCGCCATGACGACGCGCAGGTAGGCAAGCAGGTAGATGGGAATACGAGAAACGAACGCTACGGGAAATTGTACGCGGCCGCGCGGAACTGTCGATGGCAACTCACAACGTCCCCTTACGAATGCGAAGAATTCCTCGCGTCGCGCACCGATCGGAGAGGAAGCCTCCTCTCGTTCAAGTTAGCTTCATCTTTGCGCGAGTCGATCAAGTCGAGATCCGACCGAGACAGATGCGTCAGTCGATCGAACCAATCATCGAGCGTCACTACCCAGATAGACATTTGTGATTATTGCGACATGAAACATTATCGTTGGTGAAGACTTTACAATTGCTTTTCAATTACATTTATGAGGCAAATATTCGAGTCAAAGTTTTGGCTCTATGTTAAACCTTGAATTCTATAATACAGTAGAAGTTAAGTTAGCAAAAAAGTAGATTTGATTCTAATTTACTTCTGCTTTGATTCTGATGAAATCCCTCTTTTTTACTTTACTCTCTCTTTTTACTTTAAATCCCTTTTTTACTTTCTTTAGCGTCAAAATAGTAATATAAGCTTCAGAATATCAAAATAGATGTTGAATAAAAGGTTGAAAGTAGGAGATCAAAATTTCTACTATACTGATTAATCATTAAAATTTATTATAAAAAATTTTAGATTTTTTTTAATATCAATTATTAAAATTAATCTATCTTATATGTAAATTTACATCATACAGTAAAGTAAATTTTTAATTATATTGGTTATATTAATCAAACTTCTGGTGAAATGTGAACGAACTAAAAAATTTTAATTGAAGTTACCAGAATTCTCTATTCAAGTCAACCAGAAATCTTGTTAACAGAATTATGGTAACTTCCACTGCAATTTATTTCGTTTATATTTCACTAGAAATTTTGGTACATCCAACCAAAATTTCTTTTACCGTATATATTATATCCAACCAAACTTTTTTCCGTGTATGTAATAAATATGAGTGTCACATTCATACAATTTTTACAAATCGGCTGGCAAAGTTGCTGCTAAATTTACACACACCATTTATGAAACGAGTCTACTATATTTAATCAATCATGAAATTAGTATCATAATGCAAACTTTTGGTCATGTTGATGCAGCAATAAACTTGAAAATCACACTTAAATTTTCATATTATATATTATATGACACATTGTTTTGGAATAATTTCGACCATTTTTTTTCGTATTCCTATGTAATAAATATCGTTATTCTATGTAATAAATATGAGTATCGTAACCACTCATAAAGGATGCAATCTTTACAAATCGCGGCTGGCAATGTTGCTGCCAAATTTATGTACACCTGCCTATCTGGGTAATAATGGCCGGTGAGTATGATCGGAGGTGAATCACGCGATTCTTTGTGCAACGAGGGGATCAATGGGCGCGATCAGAACGAAATGTCGAGCATGCGAGCATAGTGCATTTGCTTACGTAACCTTACCATTGTGCGAGCTGAGGTCCCTGGGTTTGTGATCCAAAGCCAGCGCTCTCTCGGCGTCGCCCCTCTCCTCGCGGAGCCTGCAATAGAGAAGGAGAGAGAAAAGAAAGGTTTCCGTATTAATCCGGGGGGGATTTAAATCGAGCGAGGTGGGCGGACTGCGCTCCACACATGTACGGGTATTAATTAAATAATTATTCTAGTCGCTGGGCAAGGGATTCGCGTAGGAAGATCAGTGCCGTGGGGTCTCTCTTTCTCTCGCTCACCGCGACCGACCCCGTCGGTGTCACTGCGCATCCCCCCGTATTATCGCCCTTAATCGCCGTTCTTAAAACCGTCCTGCGCGACATACACCTCGCATTCGTTCGACCTGCCGCGAAGACATCACGAAGGAGCGAAATCCGTGCCGACGCTAAATTAGGGAGATGTAAAAGGAATTTATTCACTAGATATATATTTCCAAGACGCACAAAGGCGCATTTTCAATGACGCATCGAGAGAGCTTACTCTCGTAAATTCATTATTTATCGAATAAAATTATAACTTTATAACTTTGCTTCATTTTCCAAGTAATAAATGTTAATTTGAAATTAACTTTACACGATATTATCATGCCACGTTGCATAATCGAACGTTACACAAAAAATTGTAGTGAATGTTATTTATTCTTCTATGTCACGTTTCCTAATAAATAACATTTATAACAGCAAATTTTTTTGTCTGGACGGTATCACTTTTTACAAAGTTACACTAGAATAATTATGGTCTATGTTGCCTCTTACACAAAATTATATGTGTGAAATTGATATTCAATGAAATCATGAAATCTCTCACGAACGTGACATGACAAGTCGCATGAAACTTTACTTACAAATATATTTTATATATGATAATAAATGTTGAAATTTCTACACAATTTTAAGCATTTTGATTAAAGTGAATAAACTTCTTAAGAGTAAGCACTGATAAAATTTCCTCCCGAAGGATTCTCATTCCACCCGACGATGCGTCCGCAAAAGACGCGGACAACGGGAATTCGCAAAGCCGCAAATTTGCGTTTCGTCGCAGTTCCCGACTTCCTTCTTCGTATTTTACTTCGATTTCCTCGAGTGTCCAGGTTTTACGAGGTCGGCGCTCGTTAATGCGACTTTACGTTCCCGCGCCACGAAACTTTTAATCTTGGCTTTATATTGTTTGGCACTCGTGCCCTCCGGGTCCGTCGCGGCTTACCCGAGAATCGTTAAGATTTCTGTCTCGATGTTGCGGCGCGCATTAAGAAGCGAGCGAAGATCGCGGAATCGGGCGTTCCCGTCGTAAAGCTGCGGTAAGCGGGAAACGAGCGAGATAAAAGCTTCTTACGAAATTACAGTTTCGGCATCGTCCTTCCTCGCATCGCCGCAAAAGACAGTGAAAGGAAGAGATTAAGAGAGGAAGGAAGAAGGAGAGAGAAGAAGACGCGAGTTATCCTCGTCGTGAATTTCTCATCGCGATCGGAACAAAGTTATCGATGTCGTCGCGACGACAATTAATTGCACATTCGTTCGTGCCGGAAACAGTGGTGCGACGGAGAGAAAATAATTTTCGGGTGACAAAAGTTCCGTAAAGTACAAGCACTCTGGCCGAGGGAAGGAGGCCGCGAGCGGGGACGGGTTCCTTAATCGCGCGTAAAGAGTTGAGGGCGAGGGTGACCCTCGGCAGCGTCGAGTAGAAAAAGAGAGGGGGGACGCGCCGCCAGTGCCGCGGCTTTTATCGCGAGGTTTATAGCGGAGGTCATCCACGTAGTCGCGGATTTATTTTGCAAAGAGTGGTGAGAGATGGTGAGAGAACGAGAGAGAGAGAGAGAGAGGGAGAGAGAGAGAGAGAGAGCGAAATGGACGCGTCCTCAGAGTGATTAGGCTCTCTCACCGCGCTGTATTCTCTCACCGTGCGTCTCTCTCTCTCTCTCTCTCTCTCTCTCTCTCTCTTTCTCCCCTTCTCTTGTCTTGCCTCCTCCATTTTTCTCTCTTCTTGTACTCGACTCGCCAAATTATTCTCTCGGGTATACTTTTTCCGGCTTCCACGAGCTGCGGTTCAGGGAGGAGGGCGGCCTCTTTCGCACCTCGAATCGAACCGCGGACCATTAAGTAAGAAGTTAATATCATTAAACATAATATTGGGCGCATCTGGGAGCCGCAGAGCACTTACCGACCCCTCCGTCCACACCCCCGCCTCTAGCCCCTGCGCGCGTCCACCCCTCCCCGCCCACCGCAAAACCCTCCTGGTCTCGGCCCCACGCTTCGTTTCTGCACCGCGAGAACTCGGTCCCTCCACCCTCCGCCGACCGTTTCACCCCCCGTCCCTTCCACCCACGGCTACCCTTAATTTTTTAATGAGAAAATGCTTTCAAAGAGCCGGAGAGAAATACTGTGTCTACGAGCGATAAGTTACGGCGGCGTTAAGGGAAACGGAGAGCGCTTTTATGTGTGCGCACCTCGCAGGCCGCAGAGAATCTAGATTCCCCGACGAAGGAGGGTGGTCGAGGGATACTTCGCACTTCCGATCGGGGTAGTCATGGAGAAGTTGCACAAGATTTTGTTAGCGGTGCAATAGTGATGAAGGAAGAAGTTGGAGGTTAAATTAGGTGAATTCACATTTCAGCAGAAGGCGGAAGCCATGATCGGCCTCTGCCCTTCTGCCTTTCCATATGAATTCTTCTTTAGAGAGGGATAGAGAAAATTCAGAAAATTCTCAAGTGTAATAACGACGCAACGACAGAACACCGCCAGTGGGCACCTTGAAGACATTGTAACGATTTAATTTCCATAATAATTAAATTTTAATTGGTAATACGAGTCCATTAAGACGGCCAGTCGGCGGGGAAGTTGGCAGCGCGTCTCTCCGTGCGACCACCGGAGAGGGAAAGACGACCTTTCCTCTTCCTTTCTCGCGACAGCAGACGTCGCCGGCAATCTTCGGCGCGCAAAGTGGCTGCGAACGGGGTTGGAAAGCGAACGCGAAAGCGACGAGAGAGGAAAGAGAAGAAGAAGCGGAAACGGGGAGGAAGATGGTACGGTGCGGAGCGCAGCGCAGCACAGCGCGGAGTCGATTCATTTAGACGTCGCGGCCTTGCAATAACCGGCAACGAACCGAGGTTATTAAATTTGTAATTAGTCGAATATTACGTTCGACGTCACGGCACTCCCAGTGCCTACGTCGATGGTTACTGCCGCGGTGCGTCCGCGAATTTCCGCGTGTGTGTGTACACGCCCGCATACACACACACACACGCACACGTGCGCGCGCACGTCCATGGCGTGGTGTAGCCGAGTGCGCGAATGCGTTAATACGTGTTACGGGTTTCATTATGCGCGCGTAATACGGCTCCTACGCTCACGGATCTCGACGATACGCGAATAATTAGTGATCGTAGTCCTACGCGTCGGCCCAGGTCGCCTCGTACACGCTCTCTCGCGAGAATGAGCCGTTTCCTCGACGTCTCGACGAGGAATAACGAGGCGCGCTGTATCCACCAGTCGAAATTACAGCCTAGTTAGCCCAAGGAGGGGCCCAAACCGAACGTTTATATTAAATTCGCCGGCGCACCGTCGCGATAATTAATTCGCTGATAAATAATCGCGCGCTGATAAATAATCGCGAGGCTGCCCTCGCGCCGAGCCGTTGCGAGTCGTCGTGGCTGGGCTTCGCCCACGCTGTTGTTGCGCGAAACTAATAAGCCGCGCCGAAAACGCGCGCCCTTCTGTATCTTTGGCTTTAATTTTGACTCGGTAATGATGGACTCCGCGGGGATTCCCTCCCCGACGTTCAGAAACGGCCGGCTCGAACAGCGGGAGTTCATTAAGAGGCGGCGTTTCGAAGACCGAAAGAGCGAGAGAGAAAGAGAGAAAGGAAGAAAGAGAGAGAGAGAAAGAGAGAGAAAGCAAAGCCGCCGCGATTCCAGATCACTTCGCGAAACTGGAGCCGTCGCAGCAATGAAAATCGTATATGAGAATCTACGGCCAAAGCGTGCATCCCGTTACGTTGCGCGTCCGATAATATGCGCCCTCCTCCTCCTCCTCCTTCATCCGCGAGTCTTCCCCCAGCCGTATTTTTCCGGTATTCCGCCGGAGAGATGTATGTTTTTTCGGTCGCTTTGACGTTTTCGATCAAAACGGGCCGCTACGAACAATGGGGGTGGGATTTCCGCGTCCACCAAACGCATTGTGCGCATAACGTATCCGATAATGACGATAGCAATTGTAATTTCGGCACGACAAAGGGCCTCTGTAAAATGGCGAAGGTATGTCCCCGCGCTCTTCGATCCCGCGGCGCGACCGTCCAACAGCTTTTTTAATAAACGATGCACGTGCCATCGGCGTTCCAGCATTCACATACGCCAATGAATTTTTATCGCGACGCGTCGCATGTCGTCGCATGTAAACGTTTTTTTCTCTCCTCTCTCTCTCTCTCTCTCTCTGTCTCTCTATCCTTTTTTCCCCTCCATACCCTAAATCGCGAGTCCCCAATTATTCGGCGTGTTTATCCCGTTATCGAGTAACGCGGAGACCCCCACCCCACCCCCTGCGCCCTTCTTTCCCTTGCTTTATCCGGGAAAACGTAACAACGATCGACGCTGTTACATTCGTATACCTATCTCGGGCGACCAGGGCGAAAATGCATTTCCCGACGCGAGGTGCTAATTGAAATAAAAATTTTAATCGCTGTCGAAAAAAAAAACTCCAACCTACTTTGCATACGATTAATTTTTCAGGCGACACATTAAAACATTTTTCAGCGTTCGAACTAATATTCCGCAGTATCGAACTGCTAATGGCGTCGGGGTAAGGGAGAGGGAGAGGGGAAAAGGAGTAGGAAACACACCCCCGCGGCCGGGGCCGCAAATTCGACGTGAAATTTCGTAATCGTTCGTTAATTCCGCGTGCAGAATTAATTTCGCGGCCGGGTTGTACGGTTGTATTCTACGCGTTCCACGATCGCACGCTACACAATATATACATGTATCTCGAGGGTGGGGCTGGCGGTCTCTTCTTCGTAGGTATTTCGGAGTCGCAATAATAAACGACCTGGATTCTCGCACGAGAAG